CACACACACACACACACACACACACACACACACAATAAATAAATAAATGTTTAAAAAAAAATTAAGCAATCAATATATCCTTGATCGGGCTGGGGAGATGGCTCAGTGGAATAAGTGCTTCCCTGGCAAGTGCAAGGGCCTGAGTTCAATACCTGGTTCTGAAAAAAAAAAAAAAGAAAAAAATATATATCTCCTTGATCGTTTGCGTGATAATCGTTAGACCTATGCAGCCCAGTCTACAGCAGAGGTTGTCAAGCCTTAGGTGAGCCAGAACCCTGGGGAAGATGCTTAAACGCTGACCGCCAGCCTGCCTGTTTCTGAACTGCTAGGTCCACATGAAGGCTCATTCATTTCATTTCAGCCACACAAGCTGGAGTACTTGTGATCCCAGCACGCAGGAAGCAGACATAGGAGGATCGCTGGGTTCCAGGGCAGCATGAACAACACAGTGAGCTACCGCCACTATGAACTACACAGCAGGACACTCCCACAAAAAGCAAAAGGTCTTTTACATTTTCTCATGCTACTCATCTGGGGCCTACGTTTTCAGACCACTGCTTCCAAAGGACAGGTTTCTGATCAGCAAGAATTTCATCAAATCTGTGCTAAGACATAAAATTCACTCATTCATTCATATAACAACTATTTCTTAATAGCTTGTTTGGCACCAGGCATTGTATCGGGCTTTGTTTTATTCCTGAATAAAAACAACAGGTCCAAGTACCTGGGATATTTCCATTAGACACTAAGGGATAAGGGTATTCAGTCATAAAACTAATTGACTTGGTTTGTTAGAAAGCGTGTACTATAAAATAAGGAAAAAGTGTGGCAAGCCACTGTTTGGGATTGCCTGGCAGCGACAGACTGTCATTTTCACTATGTTGGCCAGAGACCAGCCAGAGAAGCGGATGTTTGACACAGACTTGAAGGTGGCAAGGGGGCTGGTGACTGTGGCTGGCTGAAGAAACAGTCTGCAGGCAGAGGGAACAGCCACCAGGCCAGAAAGGATGAGAAGCCCAGCAGGGAACAGGAAGCCTGATTGTTTAGGGCCTTCACACCCATGAAGAGAAAGATGCGTGGCAGGAAGTAATCCTTCGCGTGAACTGCATTTAAAAGCTGTTGTAGTTTACAATTATGGCAGGGGCAACAGTGAGAAACCAGTTGGCAACTGAGTTGCTGCTGCAATCATCTGGGGAGGAGACAAGGGAGCTGAAGTCAGGGGCAGTGAAAATGGCATATACAGGATACAGCTGAGTGCACAGCCAGCAGGATTTCCTGTCAGATGAACACTGGGTAACGAAATCAAAAAGTTGGCTTGAGCAGCTAGACACCTAGCACTGTCTTCAAGGATGATTAGGCTCTGCGACACTGCGATGTAAAGAAAAGGGAAAGCAGCAGCAGATGCCACCCACTAGGGGCGGCTGTACAGCAGGAGAATGCGAGGAAGCCCTGTTGAGTGCTGCGAGGCAAGGCGGACTTGAGGACAGCCAGAAGGACTGAGCAATGCAAATGTCAAGGGAGAGCCGGAACAGTTCTGCCGGAATGACAGCATCAGAAGCCTGCAGTAAGGGGAGGACATACTGAAGATGATAATAAGCAACTCCAACAAGGCATTTTCCTCTTCATGGAAGGGCACAATTGGGTACAGTAAGTAGGGGCAGTGAGGTGAGAAGACAGTTTGTATCAGGCTGAGAATGATTACATACATGATGAAGGAGTTGAAAATGTGACTGATTCCCATTGTTGAGATGTTCAACTTGCCATGCACAGGAAGAGCAGGAGTGGAAAGAAAAGCAGGAAGGCAGATTTTGGTATACAATCAACATGATTCAGCTACCAGTATGCACAATATATTGAAATATCTTTCAATATAATACTGAAATATACCTTAAAAATTGCAAGGAGTCTTCACAGGTAAAGAAACATTCTTTCTAATTGAGCTATTGTCTGATGTGCACATAACAAGTAAAATTTTACACATAAACTATAAATACTAGGTAAGATGCACACGCACACTGACCTTGATGTTAACACAGCAGTAAGTATAGCCACATTCTAGAATCATTATCCAGATTAACCGATCCTGAAAACGGCCCAAGTAATGAGATCCAGGCAGGAGGAGACCTAAAACAAATTTAAAAAGAAGACATCATTCTTGAAGCTTCTTTTATTTTGTCATATGATTTTTCCAAGTTGGGAGCACCACTAGCACTGATCCATAACTCCTTCTACCCTCTCCTTTGGTCAATAATGAACAGAAATAACTATTTGTTGCATATCAGGGGCAAAAAACTAAGCATTTCACAAGCTGGAAGAGAAAATGTATTCTAATAATAAACACACTGTGTATATGAAAGGTTAAGTATACGTTATATAAATTAGAAAAATATTAAATATGTAAGAATCAATTCCATTTTCTCTTGGTACTGGGAACTGAACTCAGGACCTTGCATTCGCCGGGCAGGCGCTGTGTCACTGAGCTATATCCCCTATCCCCTCCTGCCCATCAATTCCACATTGATTTAAAGACTATGAACATTTTCAAGTAAATGCATATAAATATATAACTACTAGCTGATTTTAAAAGTTTATATTCTACAAATGTTTTAAGCTGTTTTCCTTTCAAAAATGTTACCTCTTGGGATGTACTCATGCTGACTGCAAACCACCAGAGTTCATTCCCTGTAACCGTGTCCAGAATCCACTATGTTAATATAAATAGAGTATAATTTCCCCATTAATAAACATTTCAGATGTTTCTGGTTTTCACTAGTATGAGCAATGTCACACAAGTCGTCTGTGTGCAAGCCTGTACAACACACTGTGCAGAACAACTGCACAACAGGACCAAGTGCTACACTTTTTTTTTTTTTTTTTTGGCAGAACTGGGGATTGAACTCAGGCCCTGGCGCTTGCCAGGGAAGCACTTATTCTACTGAGCCATCTCCCTGAACCCCCAAGTGCTACACTTTCAAAAGTCCACACATAGGATGGGCCCTGGTGGCCATCAGGGACCACTTCACTGATAGCAACTTCTCTGGGTGCCTGTTTGTGCAAACAGTGCAGAAGGCAGTTAATGCCAGCTTTGTTTTGGAAATCTTTTTTTCTCTTTAATGTATTTATTAATTAAAAAAATTTTTTATGCATTTAGTACAGGGTGTTCAGGGCCTCATTACACAGATCAGACTCATAGTGATCCTTCCTGTTTACAGTCTCCCAAGTGCTGAGACTACAGGCCTGTGCCACCACCCTCAGTCTCCATCACCGTCTCAGCACCCCTGGGGCATGGCTGGCAGAGCATGCCAGGGATTTAACCCAGGTCCCTGCGTCTGTCTGCCTAAGCAGGCGCTTTAATCTGCTGAGGTATCTGGCCAGCTCTTTTAGAAATCATTTTTTTTTCCTGTATTTTAGGGAGGGGTCTACAGGGTATTCAGGGTCTCACTACTAGATCAGGCTTGTAGTGATTCTCCTGTTTACAGCCTCCCAAGAGCTGGGATTACAGGAACATGCCAGCATGGCAGGCCCAGGGATCGATCCCCCAGCCCCTAAGGCTGCTTGCAGGCTCTTTAATCCACTGAGCTATTTGGCTGGCCCTTCTTTGATATTGGAATATACTACAAAAAGAGGGCATGTTCACAAGTCTGCATCTTGTACAGCAATTAACCACTAAGAAGAATATATGCAGTGTATTATTTGTTGAAACTGTACTTTTGATTTGATTTGAAACT